GCAGCTGCTGGGGCAGGGCCAGGCAGCCCCAGACCTGCCCATGCCTTTCTCCCTGCACTTGCCCTAGCATGGTGCCCGGGGGCAATGGATCCCCCCTTACCTCCCCTTCACTACGTCCCTGACCCTATCTCTGGGAGATAGGAGGTATGACTGACTGGCCTCTGAGGAAGAACTGTTGTGAGTGTCTGGCCCTGACTGGACTCTAAGGGAGAGGGGGCAGACAATCTTCTACACTGCTTCCAAGGAATTTTTTGTTGTGTTTGTACGATTACAGACATACCTACTCAGAGATAATTTGAAATAAATTACCAAAGTAACAGAAACTGGTGTGATATTATTTTGACAAATAAAATTTTCCAAATTTTAAAATATTGTGAATTATTTTTTGGTGCACAATTTCCCCCAGGAGTAAATCATTCATCTGGTATGGTGCTCATCTCAGTCCACCTCCATTCATGAAGATTTGGTGAGGGGTTGCTTTTCCTAAATCCTGTTATTTTCCAATTCGGAACATCTCCTAGGAGACAGGACCTAGACAATGTTCCCACCAACTTCATTTCGCCCACCATAACTGTCCTCCCCTACTCTGCCTGAAAGATCAAGGCGAATAGGATATTGCTCTGATTAAAACGACACACTAGCCAGAGTCAGACACTCCTCAATGACACAATCGATAAGGGTGGAGCATACATCCTTCGGACTCTAAAGCTGGAAGGACTGGTTGAGTCTGTTTGCTATTGGCGAGGAAGAAAATACTGGAAGGAACTTCAAGCGGAAGGGCATTCTCTTGCTGTCCTACAGACATCCACACCCTAAACTGCAAGCAAGATGATGTACCCATTGTAATAGACCTGTGGGCCATAGTACAAAAGTTTGTTCTGAATAAGGGGCACTATAGTTGTCTGGAGAAAAACAGAAAAAAAGTTTGCATTATAGTTCAGTAGTTTCCGCTGTACTGAAAACTAACTATTTTAGAGAATGGACTGATCAGTACTCGATGTATAAGGTGCATGTTGCAAAGAGACCATTCTGAGTAGAATGTTTTAACAATGACCTCATACTTTGTAAAATCAGGTACTCTCTAAAGTGTTTAAAAAATGGAATAGAAATAACGGCTATAAAATTTTCAGAGGGGTAGCTGACTTAGTCTGTAACAGGAAAAACTTAAACAACAAATAGTCTAGTAGCACCTTGAAGACTAACAAAACATGTAGATGGTATCATGAGCATTTGTGGGCACAACCCACTGATTTAGACTTCTAATACTCCTGTAATCTGAAGAAGTGGGTTGTGCCCACAAAAGCTCATGATACCATCTACATGTTTTGTTAGTCTATAAAGTGCTACTAGACTATTGGTTGTTGTTTAAGTTTTTCTTGCTATAAAATTGTGGTTATTCAATATCATCCTCAGCTCTGCATATCTTCCAATCCTATGAACCGGTAAAGGGGCACTTAGGTAGCCAGAGTTGAACAATATTGGACTGTAATCCTTGGTAAAATGCCAACAACATTCTTGCTGTATGTTCTGAACAATGTGTCAGACTAAACTAAAAATATCAAATAGCTATAAAATGAGTAGAATGCTAGAAGACTGGTCTTATTATGCTTGATTTTGGAGACATGTACAGGGAATACCTGCTATAAGATGCCCTGGTATACATCCGTTCCACACTAAAGTCGTTGACGCTCATAGGAACTGATGCATTATATAAGTCCTCCCATTCCCCACTCTTAGGGGGGGAGGAGAAGATGGGGTAAGGAGCGCAAATGAAGTTTGCTGCGGGGGAAAAAATTCCCGCTTTAAGCTGTTTCATTATAAGTCCAAGTTTTTTGGAACTTATCTTGAACTTATAGTGAGGACTGTCTGTATTTTACAAAAAATTGTTACTCTTCATCTTGTTTAACAAGCAGCTGTTAAAGCTGAAGCAGATTAAAAACTAATTCCTAAACCAATTTAAAGAGCGCAAATGAAGTTTGCTGCGGGGGAAAAAATTCCCGCTTTAAGCTGTTTCATTATAAGTCCAAGTTTTTTGGAACTTATCTTGAACTTATAGTGAGGACTGTCTGTATTTTACAAAAAATTGTTACTCTTCATCTTGTTTAACAAGCAGCTGTTAAAGCTGAAGCAGATTAAAAACTAATTCCTAAACCAATTTAAACTAACCCTATCAGGTGTATTTCAAGAATGTATTTAAATTGTTTACACTAAATTGCTGTAGTATCACAATGTGCTTTCGCCATGTTTACTTCCTTCTCGGATTCATCTGAAGAAGTGGGTTGTGCCCACGAAAGCTCATGATACCATCTACATGTTTTGTTAGTCTCTGAGGTGCTGCAGAACTAAATGATTAGCATCCATAAAGCAACACCACTAAAAGATAGAAGGTAAAAAGCATACATTATTTTATACTACAGGTTCTGATAGGGACTAACTTTATAATTGTTTAACATACTTCATTTCAGGGAAACAGTCATGCCACAAAAACCTGATGAAACATGACTCGAGAGCTGCAAATTCAAAGCATCTTCTTAAAAATGACATCATCCCCATACAACGTTATTTATAATGGAACATTCAGTGTAATTCCAAATCATTTATGCAGTTATCAACTTTAAATTCTCTAACAGCCTTGTTTCAGATTTAAAATAAAGGCAGCACATATATTTACCACTGAAACTAAGCTCACACCTACGACATATATACATACAGCTTTCACTTATTTTTAATCAAGATTCAAAATCTCCATCTTCTTTCAATAACTTTACAGGCTTAGATAAGTGGTTGAAGAATTTGACATTTTTTTTTCCTAGCAAGTATTCAAAGCTTTGTTGAAACTATCCTATTTACAAAAGTAAATGTTTTGACTCACACTTTAGTGCATTCAGTTACGAAAAATTTAATCCTTCCAAGTATTCTTGATTGTTAATTATTCACTGAATAATTCTACTACATTCAGAGAATATTGTGGTCTAAATTTTAAAAGTGAACTTTGCAACATTTGTTTCCATCTGAATTAGGATGAACATTAATTCCTGATTTTACAGACTGGAGTCAACTGTTTAACATTAATATTATATAACTATAGCTTAACATGAGGATGATACTTAATATTTACATAGCATATATGGTGGCTTCCTCAAGGCATAATGTATATCTGTCAAGTTATGTGTATAACATTATGCATTATGAACATTTATATTCAGCATAATTAAATTTTGGATAATTATTCTATCCTATAAAAATTGAATTACTAGATATTTTCTAGAGATTTGAGATTACCACGTACAGTTTAGCCATCAATCCAAAGAACTTGCATCATTTTACTAGTTTGGGTTCCAATAAAATAACACTGCTAAAACTTAAACATTTATCTTCTCTCTCTGGATCTTTTCCTTCTTTTGGAATTTATGCATTTTTTTCCATTCTATTTTGCCAATAATCTCCTAACCCTGCATCCTTCTCAAATTCTATTATTTTGTAAGGAACAGAGCTTTGCCGATTACCCATCCCTTCCACATTTTTATGAGCAATCTCTGCAGTGGACTAGAGGACAGACTCCCCCTTCATCCACGGAAGACTAGATTTTGCTCATTCTACAGTGAATCAATAATATAGCTGCAAGTAGGCAAAAAGGTCTACTAGGATAGATGTAATTCTGCTTCCTCTCTTGGTACAGGATACACATTGTGTAGCACATCTAATCTTCTGGCCCATGGGCTGTGGTCCAAATTTAGACTCAGACTAGAGTGCAGTATTCCAATTCCCCTCTCCAGTTGGTCTCCCTGCCATCCTGATCTGGTTATCCTTTCTTTCTTCTCCTGGATAGCTCTGTGACACTGCTCTACGATTTCAGAGTCCATGAGACATTTTCAAAAGTAGAAATGTGACATGAAATTAGCATGAAATGCATTAAGATTATGAACTGGCACAAGAAGTGGAAGGGAGAAATTATTCCTTTATTTCTACTGCTCTTGCTCACAGTAGCAGCAAAGGCTCACTATTCTTCTGAGACTCCCATGCCTAAAGGAACAGATGGGAAGTTGCTCTAGATAACAGTATAGTACAACTCTGCCATGAAGAGTTCAAAAAAATACAGCATGGCTTTGGGAAAAAGATAGGATTCCTGTGATCCCCATGCCAAACTAAGCTTTTGGTCATGCATGGCAAGTGGCCTCACTGTTATCAGTTAAATATGCCCAAAATTATGATTGTATGCTATAATTATATGGATATGTTGTACAAGTTCCAGTTCTTGGATTTCAAAGCCACTGCTTTTAATTTGAAGATTAGAAATTGTAAGGGTTTACTCTGTTTAAGTTACCTACAGTTCAATTACTTTAAACCTAAAAATAAGCAAGCAAAACACAGCCGGAAATAATCACTCTAAATTGACATTTCTAGGGTGGTCTCATGGCCGCACAATACAGATCAGTAAGTGCGACTGAAAGAATCAGAATGTGAATCTCTCCCTTGCCATGTAGGAGTTGGGAATTCCTGGTATCACTCACAAAGCTACTTCAAATGAAGCTAAAAGTAGCGATAATTGACTCCAAAAGCAAGGAGAGCTAACCCTCTTTAGTTGGAAATTAACAATGGGGGTGAAGGAAGTGGAGTAGGATTAGTAAAAATTAGTCTTTTTCCTATGACACCACCAGTATAATTTTTGGGTTCCCTGAGGTTTTACATAGGCCTGGGCCACACTTAAAAATGTTGCATTTTGAATGCCACAGGTATGTTGACCTAATCCCAAGTGTAGACAATTAAATTGACAAAAGAATTCTTCTGTTGATCTAGCTGCTGCCTCTCTCACAGGTGGATTAACTACATCATTCGAGAAACCTCCCCCACGGATGCAGAAATCATCTATATTACATTGCTACAGAAATGCAACTGCAGTGCCATAGCAACTGTATGGCAGTTATTTTCTTCAGAGCTGCAGTACTAGTGTCCATGTATTAAATTTTAGCTACTCTTTAAAAGAAAAATGAATATTTGCTACTTTTTTAGGATGTTCACACTAATTGAGTTAAAGTTAAGCCTTTCACATGGGAAATATATCATGTAATTGGTGACTGACAATTTGTTTAAAAGGGCCTAAAGGAAAAACAAAACAAAACAAAACCAACCAAACAAAGGTACAAGTTACTGACCTTCTGAAGTCCCCCATTCTCCTCCACCAATGGAGGAAGAGTACTAGTGCTATTGGTAGATGGTGGCTCGACATTGTAGTCACGAAAACAGCAGAATAAGGTGCTCAAGATACTTCGACTCCTTTGCTTTTTCAAGCTGATATTACATTGGGACACTATAAAATGGGGAAAAAAATAAATCACGCTTTAAGTTTTTCAGATATAAAATGGTTGTTATTCTTTTTCAAATAGAATATATTTCCAAAAATACTTTAATGTATCTAAAACTCAGAATAATTATCTCCTGATGTTCATCAACTTTACTTTTACACCATACCCTTCACTGTCAAATTTATACACAGGGAACTGTATATTAATTTCAGGTTTGGCTCTCTACATAATCCAAACTCTTGTGATACCATACTGAGATTTTTTAGAGCATCTATCAAGTAATATCTAAAGTAGATACTAAGACCTATAGCCAGTAATTTGCTGCCAAAATATGACTCCGAAATAGGACTTTGCTCTAAAACAGAATGTCGTCAGAAGTCAACTGAACCCTGGGCATATTTTGGGCAAAACACTTCACTGTTTGAGAGACAAATTCATTCCACAGATTTTTTTTTTAATTCTCCTGCTGCTTATGCTTTAACAGCTATCTTCCAGCACGTGAAAAAGCATTATAAACAATTCTTGCAGCACAGAGAATTAAATTAAATGTTAAAAGGAAAGCTTAGCTGCCAGTCTTACTATAGAATAGGGGAGTTAAATATCGGTTAACTGAATAGGCTAGTAATCTCATGAATGCTTATCAGTTAGTCAACTATACTAAAGTCCCCAGGGGTAGGGCCGGCAGCCAGCGTGCTCGGGCCTCACGCCTGAGGAGCCCACTGCTAACTCCGCGCCGCTACCTCTCTATCAGAGGCAGCAGCGTGGGGTGCCAGGCAGGAGCTGGTCCGTGAGGGGAGCCAGGAAAAACTTTTTATATATATAGAGAGAAGGAAAAATAAAACAGAGAATGAACCATCATCCATTAGGTATATAAAGGACCTCAAGTAGGGCCAAATGCTATCAGTCCATAGTTTTTGCAATTACCTTTCCCTATTATTCCTTTTCAAGGCCAGAAGTAAGGGTAAGTCTAGACTACATGCCTCTGTCGCCAGAGGCATGTGGATTAGGCTACCAGGCATAGGAAAGTGAAGCGGCGATTTAAATAATCGCCGCTTCATTTAAATTTACATGGCTGCCGCGCTGAGCGGTAGTCTGGACGCGCGGGTGTTGACATCAAAGGCATTTGTCGACCACCCAGGTAAACCTCATCCCAGGAGGCATAATATCCTAATATCCACTACAATCTTCAGTACCAGATACACGTTAGAAAAGCAACAATTTTTTAATTTTTTTTCAGGACTAATCCTGATCACAACCAGTATTTAAAAATAAAATATCTTACTGATACTATAGATACCAATTAATATAATCTACTTTACCCTCGCCTGGAAGAATAACAAATAATGATGTACTACCTGACACCATACCATCCTCTCACAATCTTAATTCTTTGATGTTTATCTATTTCACAGCATAATGGTTAGCGACACTGAATATATTACAACATGGTAATACAATGTATATCTAAACACAGTGTATTTTAGGTAAAAACAATGCTCTAATACAACTACTACTGTTAATGCAATCAGGAGATTTACATAGCATGTATAATCAAAAATGTGTCAAGATTACTACTAGATACTCATGTTGTGTGTGCTATTCTGAGACATAAGACCCAGATTATATGACTTTAAAATCACTAGAGAAAAGTAAACCTTACATTATATCGGATCACAACCTTGGGGGGGAATGACTACCTTGTTTTTCCCATTACATGCAGCAGAAGAGATATCAATAAGAAAGGATATGTTACCTTCACTTTGAGCCTATTATACATTTAATAATCTTTTAAACAAAATCTGAGCACCCAACCATTTTATACCTACCCTCTTTTCCTTTACAATACTGATTTAAATTAAAAGCACAGAAAACCACTTCAATCAGAACCTGCCAACTTAAGCATTTAATTTACTCCTAAACATTTTGCTGTAACAGATGGAGTGATATAACTTAATAATTTTTTTCATCCATTTCCTCTGCTCTTTCACTTGTGCAGGACTACTGAAGGCAATGTATATACAACCACCACCCAGATCTAGAATAGCAATCAACATCTTAGATTTCAGTTTTTACAGTGTCTTTTTAAACACATTAACTTAGCTTCACAAAATTCTAACAGACTTTTACAAAGCATGATTTTTAAAAATAAAAACAAATCTAATTTATTTAATCATCACCATGATCAAGTGTAGGAAAGATTTTTGTGGCTTGATTTGTGGTCTATTTTCCTGACAATTTTACAAGGCTGCAATATAAAACCACTTCAGTAAAACAGTACTTTTAGTTCATTAGTTTTTCCTCCTCAAAAATATTGCCTAATGTGTGTCATACAGTTTTTCTCCTCATATGTCAAAGTTTTAAAACTGATGAAAGCAATACCTCTACTGAGAAGATGAAAATCCTTCAGAAAGTTACAATAAAATTAATTCACAATAAAAAGGAGCAACATAACTTTATCTAATACACTGGGCAAAACAATAATGGGTAGAGATAAAGCATCACATGAACACCTATTGTAGAACTGAATGGCCTTTCAAAGAAATTCATTGCTATGTAAAAATAAAACATATTTTAATGTTGAAGAGTCATTGTATAAATTATGCTTTCATAGTATTTTCTCCTCCCTATAATTTGAAAAATTCTGGTACAGGTTTAAGAGTAATATTTCTTTCCCCAATATTTCATGCTTCTATATCTGGCAACATTTTCTCCCTTTTACCAGCAGAACTCCACATCATTCTTTTTGGTTTATTGCCATGAAGTGGAAACACTCAAATTATTTGAAAGTACAGTGAAACCTTTGTTATCTAGCACTGTTAACCAGAAAATTTTGTTAACCGGCACTGCCCTCAGTCACAATAATGTTACATCTTCAGACACACAGGCCTGGCTTGGTTTACCATAGCTGGCTTAACAATTTTTTATTTAAGAAGTACTAATCATCTTTAACTCAAAACAGAAATGTGAAACCAACTGTCTCACACTACAAAACTACCAATATTAAAAACCTGAGTTTTACTATTATTGTCCATTGGTTTTTCCTAGGTTGATAGGACCCTCAGATAATCAGCATTTTTAGATAACCAGAACGCCCTAATCCCCAAGTGTGCCGGATAACACAGGTTTTACTGTAAATGATTTGAACATGTATATCCTCTTAAATCCAAATTATGTTTTCCTAATATGGCAAATTTTAGATCAAGATAAACTGAACCTATGTTGCGCTTAAGGCACTACTTCAAATGTTCACACAATGAAATATTTCTCTGCATAAAATTCATTGTATTTATTTACTTTGATTTATACATTAACAAAGTTCTAAAATGCTTCTGACATATTAAAAACCACAACTGCAAATCAAGGACCACGTCTTCAAAATCATGTGAACACTTCTGGAAGTACCCAGTTCACACATGCACAATGCTTTGTGCACAGCTGCATGAATGTCATGAATTTGCATGCAGACTAGGGATGTTAAAATGTGTGTAATTAAGTAACAATGTAACCACTGAAAATTTCAGCAGTTACTCAGTTACATGTGGGGTGGCAGTTAGCTCCTCAGAGCCAGTGCATGTGGGGAGCCGACTTTTAAGCCAGCTACTTGCGTGTACCAGCTCTCACCTACTGCCTTGCGCTGCTGCCATTCTATCAGCAGAGTGGCAGGCAACTCCCTGGGGGGGGGCCAGTGCAAGCATCAAGCCAGTTTGTAAACTCACTCCACAGATGTTCCAGGGTCCTGCGTGTAACCATGAACATTAACCAATAAACCCGGACTTATTGGTTAACTATTTACATGGTTAAACTTTCACATCCTTAATGCTGACACACTAACATTTAGATTTCCACATGTGCACTTCTGAACTTTTGGGCTAATGTTTATTATAATGGATATTTCTAAAATGTTTTATTTCCAAAGCAGAAGCCTATAATATACAGTCTCAGCAAATGTAAAACACTGAATCTTGAATTTCTATCTAATCATGAGACCTCTTATTTTTCCTCCATACAAACCTTACATTCCATAAATTTAAATATCAAACAAGTATCAAATCTGTACGGGGACTACATATAGCAGAATGTAAGGAACTGTAAACTCTCTGACACTTAGTGGCATGAGCACTGTTCACCTTGCATTTTGCTCATTTAACTTTCTCATCTTTGAATTTATAAATCTTGACGGGGGGAGAATGGGCGAGAGGAAATGTCAAATGCTGATCTTTGCTACTACACCTATATAAATCTGATACACCTACTTAGTTCTTCATTTCCCTCTTTTCAACTTAGCTATCCCATTGTGTTTTGTGTGGACTGAACTGTTCAAATTTTACTTTTGGTTTTCTCTTTAATTATATTTATTGTAACTGAAGATAAGGGCTCTGGGTTATAAAATAGCTATGATATGTTGTAAAAGTTATATTATGTTTCTTTATCATTAGATTTTATAAAGTTATTCAATTCATTTCATTTTTTTGGTTCCTTTTGGGACTTGAATGTGGGGAGGCTGACTCTCTGTAATCCTTAGAGACTGAACTCTGGGTCTCCATCTCTACTTTCCTATGGAAGATGGGTTTTTTTTAAGGTACTGAAGAAGGGCAACGAAGTGAAGTCTTGCCCAAGGTTACACATGGACCAGGACTCCATCATGTTAAGAGCTGTACAAAAACAGAATGGCATAACAGCCCTTGCCACAAAGGGCTTACAATCTAGACAGAAGAGAAGAAAAAGTGCATGGATAGACTGATGTGGAAGTGCAAGGAAGCAAGACAATAGCATGTATATGACAGAGGAGAAAAAACAGTATTTTCAGCCAAAATATTTTCGAGCAACAGTAAATAGGAGATAGTATTGAAGGCCTAAACATAACCTCTAGCATAGTGCTCTCTGCAAAGAAAACCATAATTTGCTCATTCTAAATAAATTACAGGTTACTAAGTATTAATAGATCCCAAAAATTATGACGTTAGCCTAAAAAACCTGAGGTTTTAAAATAAAATAAAATAATAAA